TAGGACATCAAGAATCTCTGAGAATGAAAGTTATGTGTGCTAGCATACAGTCACCTTAGCCTGGGTATATTCCCTGCAAATAGACCAACGAATTGCAGAATGTAAATCTGATTAGTCAGGTTACATAGAAAGATCAACTGAGGAGTGGATAGTGGTCTGAGAAAGGAATGTGTTTTTGCATCTCTTCTCCCAAGGGTGGAATATTTTTGAAACTTATTTATTGTGCAAATAAGGTACCATACAGCGAAACTTCCCAAGCTGCACTGTCAGGGTGGTTAGGATATATAAATTCAACCAGCCACTCTGAAATAAACATATTCGACGGCCGTTAAAATCTCGGTACTGGCTGATTTTATTGGATCATATCCTCCAGTTCTCTGGGATGTAAATTTCCGGCCATAACCTGTGCAGCAATAAACTTCATTCAGCCACAAGAGTGTGCATGTGAGAGGATTGCAAATCTGCTCCGCCAAACCAGAATTAGCCGGTATCGCAGGAATGAAAGAGCGTGGAGATTTGAAATTGCAGAGAATGGAGACAAGGCGGTGCAGAGGACGAGCTGCCTGGGGGGCAGGCGGCCCCAGACCGGTGCCGCACTCCTATGGAAAATAAGTCCCAGGGCGGCGAGCAGGGGCGAGGCTGAGCTGGGGCGGGCCCTGAGCGGAGCCGGGCCAGGTGGACACCGGAGCCCGCAGCAGCCCCCCGGGGTCCCGGGACGCGGAGCAGCGCTGCGGGTTGGGCTGACAGCGGGGCTCGGCGCCGAGGCGCGCAGGGACGGCGGCGCTGGATGAGCTCTACGCTGTGAGTACCTCGGGAGGAGCCGGGAGCCACCACACGGCAGCGGCACCAGCACCGGAGCGGGAGGGAAACGCGGAGCGGCCGCGCCGCCTGCGGCAGAGGCGCGCTGGGCTGGGCTGTGCGGGGCTGGGCTGGGCTGTCCCGGGCTGTCCCAGCGCGGGGCTCCCGGGGCCGGGGCGGCGGCCCCTCGGAGGCGCGGCGGGCCGGGAGCGCGGCTGCCGCAGCGGGGTAACTCGCGGTCATCCTTTGTGCTCGGCGGGCGGGCGGTGCCGCGGCCGCGCCGCCCCCCGAACGCCGCCCCCTCCGCCCGGCCCCGCCGCAGCCCCCGCGGGACGGGCCCCGGCCCCGGCCCCGGCCCCGGGGTGCCCGACGGCCGCTGCTGAGCTCTTCCCGGGGCAGCCCTGCGGCCCGGGCGGTGGCGGCCGTCCCCGCCCCAGCTCTGCTTCGCGTAGGTGAACCGAACTCGAGTGCGGGGAAGGCGTATGAAGCTCCCAAAGCTGTTCCCTTGGGAGAAAAAAGTACATCCCCTGCCTTCGGGCTACCCCCGAAACAGGCTGTACAAAATTAAGGTGCACGCCTGATGAAAGCTGCCCGTTCCCTTGGTTCCAAAGGGAGAAAACTGTCCGCTATCTGAGCCGGTTCCGCTATCCCCGGGGACGGGGCACCACGCGGGGGTCACAGCGGGGCACAGAGGGGTCTCCGGGGATGCCGCCTGAGCAGGGTTTGGGAAACATCCCTCAGGGAGGGGCAGCAGGGCATCATCCCCGGTCTGGAAACGGAACTGCAGCCGACCTTATGCAAACTTGTGATCCTGGTAATTAGTTTAGCCTTTTAAGCATTTAATTTCCCTGATCTTGTGCTCCTTTCTGGGCAAGCATTTTTATGCACTGGGTCTCTGACTGGCAGGGGTGGCCGGTGTCCACATCTCCGTGAAGTCGCTGACAGCTGAAGTGCTCGGCGTGTTAGCAAGGTGAAGTCAGACTGTGGAAACATGACAACCAAAATAAACCATGTTTTTAGCAATGTTTCCTCTATATGCCTTCAGCAACCAAATAATTACATGTGGCAGTTTTACTGGGAATATTACAAAGTAAAACTCATTACTAGTTATGATGCATTTATGAGTTATCAATTGGAACTGCCTTTAAAGTACAATTTTATTCTATAATTTTTAACACTGACTCAGTCAAAAGCTGGCAGAAGTTGACCAAATGGATGTAAATTATTCATCATATGGACTTTTTATAGCAAAGCAGATGTTCTTCCGTGATCTAGTTGAACTACAAGCTAGAAAGCCATATCTCCACTGATGGTACATGAAACTTGGGTGTTTTGCTGCTAACTTAAGTCTTATTACAGCACCTGCATTTGTCCCTAAAATAGATCATGAGTCAGGTTTTCAAAAATGCTCAGCATCTTTGCAGGCACTAACGCTTGGGCCATTTTTCTTAGAGCTCTGCATGCTTTGTGCGCATATAGTCTAAAAAGCTCCTCTGGGAAAAAAAAAATTAACTTGTCCTTTTCCAGGTGACCAAATAAGAATCCAGATTCTCCTTCCTTTAAACATTTCCTCAGAAATTCCTTCTGAGGAGCTGTATACAAACACTGTTACTGTAAGTGGGTCTTCCCTGTCTTGCTTCTTGGGGAAACTGTCTGGCTTTACAAATCAGCTGCTGTCATTTTCCTTACAGTTTCTCTAGGATTTCCCAATTGCAAAGAGTTAATTTGGTCTTCTGCCATTCATGAGCCTGTTCTTGGCAATGCTGTGTGGGAAGAAGGTTGAAGGCAGGTAAGTGCTTTTCTCCTGGGTGCAACAGACCATAGGACGATCAGTCAGTCCTGGGGAGGGGATCCAGGCATCCAATCCTTGCTTTATCCAGAGACTGAGAGGCTTCCGAGTGTGTTCACTCTGAACTTGTGACTTAGTGAAAAGTTAGTAGGATGAAAGTAACAATTAGCAAGAATTTGGTTCAAATGGAAAATATATGCATTTTCTGAAGATCTGTGGGGGTTGATACAAGCATGACGTTAACTTGCATCTACTCAATCTAAGCCAGTTCTGTCAGCAAGACTGCAAAGAGAAGTGTCATAACTTTGCAGCTCAATATCAATTATTTTTCTTCAAATAATTTAAAATATGTAAAAGATGTGCCTATTTCCTGTCCAAAGAAGAATTTTTTTGTATCCAGTATCAGGATTCAGGTGTGCACAAAACCAGTCAAAAGTAAAAGGGAGAAAGGTGAGGCTTTACATTAATCTTGACTCTGAATCTTCAGTTACATAATTTTGTATTCCATTATCTAAGATGCACTGTAATATCCCTCATACATATTCATGAATCTTATGCAGAGCATGTGCAACAGATTTTCCTTCATTCTCATGCCTCGTCTCATTATTTCCCATTAGCATGATTATTCACTGTGTTTATCACCTTTTTGCACCTAGTCTCTCTCTGCCTGGTGAGTGGGCTGAATCCTCTGTAAGTAGTCCTGTAACCTACAGCAACAGAGGATCTGGCTCCAAGTACTTTATCAGGAAAGGGTTGAGATGTCATCTTTAAGACCTACCTTTTGCAGAGGAAGGGTGAAGTATGATTATGACTAAGGCTGTTCTCCTTAATTTAATTAATAATATAATTCAACAATTGTGACTAGTCTGTCCTTTTATGGTGAAAAAACCAGTCTGCACCACCAAATGGCTGTGACTTGTTCCCCTGCTGCCTGTCCTGCCTCAAACACCCTGCAGGATCTCTAGAAGGACCTCTAAGCGCTATTCCCATTCTCTGTTTCCCAATTTGGAAAGGAAAAGCCTGGAAGGCATTTCAATATCCATTTCCACTGGCAACTCATCAATGGATCCCAGCTTATCTGCCTGTGCAGCAAATGTTAAATGTGCACAGTTCTTGTTCTTCCTCACTGTGTCACCAATACCTCCCATGGCCAAGTTAGAGCTAATGACAATTTAGTCACTTAAGAACATTAATCTATGAAAAATTTACTACCAGGAGTGCAACATATTTTAGCTGCAGCTCATGTGTGAGGCAGATCAGTGTGCTCTTGGAAGAACCTGCACGCTCAAGCTGCCCTTAGTTACACGATTAACTGCACTGCAAGTGTCAAGTGTCTTAATATTACAAAGGGAACTTAGGCAGCAGCCAGGCTGGAGAGGCTGCACGTATCAACAGGTGTTCATTGGTGTCTGGGACTGGCCAGCTCTGACTTAAGCTATAGATTACTGTGGAATGCCCCAGGGCATTCTCTGTGTGTTTATCTAGCAATAAGAAAAAAAAGTAAAACAATTTTGAAAGGTCATAACTTGAGAAGCAAAATGTATTCATGTATTTAAAGACAAGTTTTCAGTTGGTACAGAATCTGGATCTGTCTGTTCGCTACCTGTTTGCAACAGTGAGGAGCCAACCCAGAGGCACACATTCTGATGGCTCACAGGAGACATAATGAGCTTTTTAAAACAATTTTTGATACTTTTTTCCCTTTCCACTGTCCTGAAGCTGATGTTTCTTTTTACTTCTCTGGAGAAAAAGACAAAAAATTACCATCTCTGTTAAGTTGTATCATTGCATTTCTAGTCTCCATGGAAACAACTGTGGTGCACCACAGTTGGGTGAGATTTGAATCTGTTGCAGCAGAAATCAGATGGAGGGAAGACTGGATTCTGCACCTTGACTGTTAATCAATTGAAAGTGATTTTCAAATTATTTTCACCTTATGTTGCAATCTTCATTTAGAGTAACAATAGAATAAATCAAAGTAATCAAATTAAGCTAGTGTGGCCTGATCCTATGTACACCTATGCATGTAACTCTGCCACTCAGATTGGTTATGATAGGCATTGACATTAATTTGGAAGAATTCTTTGTTTTTAGTAGGATTATAAGAATTAATATTATGGAAACTGAAAGCATAATAGCAAACTGTTGTCATGTTGACTCTAATAAAAAGCTTTCCAGAGAGGTAGTAGCAGTTGCCTCATTGTGATTTATGTAAACAAAACATTTTGAAAATTAAGTATCTTAATTCCTTATTTTTTGCTGTCTTCATTCTGTGCTTCCACTGCTAAGGAAGAAATGCATCCCCAAACTGGTTTCCTCTGAAAAGATGTGGTAACTTCATTTACCTGCTGCTTCAGGATTTCACTTTTTTTGTCCAAGCTTTATGAACTTGAACACAAAGGCACATCATCTTACCAGGACAGCAGAAGGTGACACAGAGAAGTAATGTACAGAGAGAGACCAGTCTTTTTTGTGACTGTAGTCAACCCATGAAGAGTGAGGGCTCTCAGCCACCTAAAAGTAAGTAAAATGTATGGTAATGTAAATAATGCAGCCTACTGTCAGCCTGTAAATACTCCTGCACAGACAGCCATAATAACAAGTTGCACAAATAAATAAATGAATGTGACAATTTTCTAAGCATTTTACATTTGAATAATGAAGTCACAGTATTCATTACAACTGCACTAACCATGGTGGTGAAATATGATAGTGATTTATGGTGTTCGCTATAACCAAACTGCAAAATCTGATTATTTTGTATGTATTTTTTAGGTATTTACTGCATTTGCTTCAGAATACTGTGGAGAAAATGTATGCTAGTCGAGAGGATATTGGATATGATTTTGGAGATGACTCAAAAGTTGGAAGTAAGCCAATTAAACCTAACCCAAACATTGATGGAGGATGGGCTTGGATGATTGTACTTTCCTCTTTCCTTGTGCACATACTCATCATGGGTTCCCAAATGGCCCTTGGAATACTCAACATGGAATGGCTTGAAGAGTTTAATCAGAGTCGCGGCTTAACAGCGTGGGTTAGCTCCCTCAGCATGGGCATCACGCTTATTGTAGGTATGTGCAAGCATCACATATTTTAAAACTATACAGATTTTTAGAATATGTTTGCCATTCATCCCTGAAGTATTTCCTTATAGTTGTCCCAAGCTGACCTTTTAAAGTCACCAGGACAAATTTTACAGTCTAGATGGGAAAAGGGAATAACAGGGAAAATGGAATGGAAGACAGTCCAGGAGACTGCATGAGCAGGAAAGGAAGCCTGTGACTTCCAGGTCTGACTAGAATTAAGGAAACATGATCTGCGAAGCTTGGAGTCCTCTCCATACTCTATCTGTAAGGAGAAAATGTTGAATTTGCACGGTTTATATTTCATTTTGGCAGCTGAATGAAAATATTTTAGTTGTAGTTGGATTAACCCAAAATAATATCTGGAGGAAATGTTTGTGTATATGTGTACATACACACCTATGATTCCCTAAATGAAGACTGAAAAAGTTATGTTTAATAACTGCCTAAATTATTCTACTGAAAACCAGATAAAATGCTTAACTTCTGGTTACTTGTGAAAAAATCTTGCACTCACACAGCATCAGCACTGGGAACAAGTATTTCAGCTTATTACTCTGTTTAAACTGTCCCTTCTTCATGGAGGAACTTTGATTATAGGTCTTGCAGGTATTTGCTAAGTATTTATTCAGTTGGTTGTATTTCTCTTTCCATGATTTTAAGAAGTAATATGAAAAATAAACTGAATTGCAAAAGTTGCCTGATACTTTAACATTTTATTTCAAACATTAAGAAACTTAAGGTGAAAAATTATTAGAGCATAAGGAATGAAATAAATAATTTATAATTTCTTTCATGTTTTTTACCAGGTCCATTTACTGGTTTATTCATCAGCATGTGTGGGTGCCGCACGACAGCCATACTTGGAGGGATACTGAATGCTCTGGGTTGGATACTGAGTGCCTATGCCTCAAATGTGCACTACCTCTTCCTCACCTTTGGAGTGACAGCTGGTGAGAGCTGCACTAATGTTTGAAGGTTCTTTAAATTATTTTTGATTCATTTGAAGCTTATCTGAGGGAGTAAATAGGGAAGGTAGATTGTAAAGTTATTCCAGCTCTGCTTTCACGCTTTAACAGCCTGTTATCTTTTTAGGAAACTTATTTACTCAGTGAATTGGGCCCAGTCACTTCTGTTGTTGTTTAAATTTGCCATGTGAAGGTGGTACTTTTATCATTTTCACCCAAGTGAATACATTAGAAGACATTTTTAATTAGGGGAATTGCTGTAACTGAAACTCTGACAAGTAAAATTTAAAGATGAAGTTTGTATCTAGCTAACTCCTCTCCTTGTCATAGGAAAGAATAACAAATGTTTTCTCCAGAAGTTGCTCCACATTAATAAAATACTGAATTATGACATACTGCACTGCTTCAAACCCATTTTAAAGAGTGAAGTGGGTTACAGCTGGTAGGCAAGTAAGCTGTACACAGCTGCTCACTCACTCTCCCACAGTGGGATGCAGAGAGAATCAGAAAGGTAAAAATGAGATAAAGAGCGTTTAGTAGATAAAGCAAAAGCTGAATGCACAAGCAAAACAAAGATAAGGAATTCATTCACTACTTCCCACGGGCAGGCAGGCATTCAGCTCTTTTACTGCTTTTTACGTTGTTGGCAAAAACTTCAGATTTATTTAATTTATTTTTTTTTTAGGCATTGGAAGTGGCATGGTTTATCTGCCTGCCGTGGTCATGGTAGGGCAGTATTTTCAGAAGAGAAGAGCACTTGCACAAGGGCTCAGTACCACAGGAACAGGGTTTGGAGCTTTCCTAATGACTGCCTTAATGAAGTACCTCTGCACAGAATTTGGGTGGAGGAATGCCATGTTCATCCAGGGGGCCATCTCCCTGAACCTTTGTGTCTGTGGGGCACTTATGAGACCACTCTCTCCCAAAGACCTCTGTGAAAAATATGTGGTGAGAAGTGATAGTGAAGAACATCGGGAAAAAGCTCTGTCCCATTCTACAGAGACTATAAAATCTAATGGAGTCCTTGGTGAAGAACCAGAGAATAAAGAAGAGGTAACAAATGAAGAAGTGCTTGTCAGTGTGCAGCGCATAGAAATTGGAGGTAAATCTGGAAGTGGAAGGAGCATGTATGGACTGCGCCTCTTTAAGACAGTGAGCCAGCTGACAGTTACAGTCAGAAAGGGCTTTGCCCTCTGGTACTCCAGCTACTTTGGAGCTGCATCACTGTTTACCAATAGAGTATTTGTGGCCTTTATAATTTGGGCTTTGTTTGCCTATAGCAGCTTTGTCATTCCCTTTATTCACCTTCCAGAAATAGTCAAGCAGTACAACTTATCTAGGCAGGACAATGTATTTCCTTTGACATCCATTATAGCTATCGTTCATATTTTTGGTAAAGTGATCCTTGGAATCATCTCTGATCTCCCATGCATCAGCACGTGGAATGTCTTCCTCATGGCTAACTTTACCCTGGTTGCCTGCATTCTTACTTTGCCACTAATGCAGACATATGTTGGCCTGGCTGTGGTTTGTGCTCTAATAGGATTTTCTAGTGGCTATTTTTCTCTAATGCCTGTTGTGACTGAAGATTTAGTTGGAACTGAACACCTTGCAAATGCCTATGGCATCATCATTTGTGCCAATGGAATATCTGCTTTGTTTGGACCACCCTTTGCAGGTAAAGAGTTCAAATTGCTAACAAACAGATGTCTGTGTAATGACCGTGTGACTCTTCGTATTATTAAACTTTTATTAAACTTTTTTTCTTATGCTATGAGCATGTGTAGTTAACAAAATCATAGCTGCTCCAGAATGGACATAACATTGAGCTTTACAGTGTACAGATTTACGGTCACATCTGCTGGATTCCAGCTCACTGCCCTCATATTACAAATTACAGTTCTTGGATATAACCCCAAATCCATTACAATTTATCTTTACAATGGTATGTTTCCTTAAAATAGTTATCATACACTTTATTTATTTTTTTTTTTTAATGGGAAAGGTGTAACCTATTTTTTCATGTTTTTTTATACTATATGCACTGCATATTCTCATTCCTTTACCCACATGAAGAAATGGTGGTTAGTTCTCAGGGTAGGCAGCTGTTTGTACCACAGCATTACCCCAAGGACTGTACTATGTGTTTGGGTGTCCCCACTCCAAACTGCCAACTGACGTGTTGATTTAACTAACTTTGCTTTGCCTTCCTTCAGCCAGAAATACTTACTTTGGGGACTCCACTGCTCATAACCTCTTTGCTGCCATCCCCAGCAGAAGGGAGAGTGTATGTATGCTATCCCTAGAGTTAGGTTTAAACAGACATTCATTATAAATTTCCTCATAGAAAGAGGCAGGGGAGTACAGAAGAGATACGGGTACTGATTGTCAGTACTGTATCAGACTCCAGCTCTCTTTTCCAGAGGTGGTGCTGAGAAGAAAGCTGTGAGAAATCCTGGGAGTCATGGCCATGGTCAGCCAGGGGCAGCTCTAGGCTGAAGGGAAGGCAGCAGCAGCATGAGCAGCCCAGAGAAGTGAGAGCCCCTTCTCTCCCCACCACCAGATGAGTGACATGAGTAAGAAGAAAGCTCGCTCAGTGCCCCTTGAAAGCAGCAGTGTTTTACTCTGCCACGTTCCCTCAGCACCTCCCAGTCTGTGCTAAACCTAAATGTCCCTGTATTTGGTCTTTGGTTACAAAGCAAATTGGAAGCAAGTAGCTGATATAAAGAGAGCTTCTGATCTTGTGGGTACATCGCAGTGCAGCCAGTGTGGCGTGAGGCAGTTTTGCTCATTTGGGTTGTCAAACCCTCCCGATGTAATGAATAAGTAACTTCTTTAATGAAGAAGTAACTTTAATGTGTTTTTGCAAAGGAATTGAGGCTGGAATGAGAGTCATTGCAGTATTGAGATTGTATCTCTTGAACAGTCTTCTATTGGTATGCGAGGTTTGGAGACAGCTATGGGGAATGTGTTTGCTTGCACAAGGCACAGCATTTGAACCAGTATTGGGCATTTTACAGAGGCAGTGATAAGGAGGAGGAACTAATTGGTTTGGGATTACAAAATGTCGATTTTAAAATCAGACCTATGATAACTTGTTTAAAAAATATATTTTTCCATGAAGCATCTGTGGATTTGACAGAAAGGTCATGAAAGAAATGTGAAGTATTCTTTGTATTTTCTACAAAATGTACTTTTTTGTCAAGCTTTGTAACAAATATGTTTTGTCCTTATTTTCCAGGTTGGATCTATGACATCACACAAAAATACGATTTTTCTTTTTACATAGCTGGATTGCTATACATGGTGGGAATAATATTTTTACTTATACAACCTTGTATTCAAAAGAAACAGCCAAGAGAAAAATCTACAGAAGAAGCACAAGTATAGAACAAATTCCAGAAGTTTTTTTCTTTTTACAGAACTTTTTTGTTTTCATGTTTCTCTTCTGTGACAGTTTGAAGATGTTTTTCTTATAGAACCAACCACATTTAGCTGCACTTAAATGGAAAGCAAATGTGCTCCATAATGCTTATAAATTATTTGAAATATGCTTTTAAAATTAGTTAAGATATTTTACTTTAGAACTATCAAATACAGTGATTTAAAGCACACTGCTAGTATTTTAATATTAGAAAAATGCTAAGAACCCTTACCCTTGCTTCTCTTTTAATTTTTCACCATTAATTGGTGAAAATCCATTGACTGCAGTGCAGTTACTCTGATTTACTAGTCCTGTGAGAGAATGTGGTCAGGACATGAATGATTTATGAAAGTCCTTTCTACTATGTATTCAATCTGATGAAAGATTAGTTACTGAGCATAAGAAAATGATTGTATTTCTTGCCTGGCCAGTCAAGTACTGCTGAAATGCTACTATAATAATTCCATTAATTCAGCATACTAAAATTGCTATTTCTGTGATGCAAATCTGAAGAAAAGTTCTCCTGTATTTCTGAAGTGATTCAGTTGGACTCAATAGGTCCCTCCCAACCCAGTATATTCTGTGATTCTACTTCAATGATTTTTAGATTTTTTTTAAAGTAGCAACTGCATCTAAAGTAGCCATCCTCAGTACATAGGCTGCATTTTAAATGCTGTGACACTAAATGCACCTGAAGTAAAAAACCCATAAATGCAGAAACAGGAAACATATGGAAAATATCATTGTGACTGGAAAATGTTTCCAGAAAGAGTTTGAGTTCTCTGGCCCTTTTACCTAATTAGAGTTATTGTAGAATTTAATAACATTGCCACTGACTCCTTCCAGGGGAATGAACTCTACTGCAGCACACTGAATTTTATTATAATTTAATTTAATTGTTCACAAACTCTGTCACATATGAGCAGTTATGTTGCTGCTTGTAATGTACAGCATGAACTGACAAAGATTCATCATGTTTGAGAAGTTTATTCACTAGAAAATTAGAATACTACAGAGCATGGAATAGCTAACAAACATTTTAAATATTCAAATAAATTTTCTTAACATTAAGGATCTGGTAGCCAACACAGAAGGTGATGTTTTGTGGTATGGGGCATATTTTTCTCAGCTTTGAGAGGTGAGTCTGATGTTAATTTTCCTATCAAATAAGAACCATTGTAAGTTTTCATCCTCTTAGCTTTATGAAAGTTCTTTGCATGACAAATCAGGTTCTTAGTTTAATATTGCTACATGCTACTGGAATTCCTTAGAAAGCAATTGAAACTCTTCAATTATATTGAAGAACTATTGGGAAACAATTCAGTACACAACAATATCAACAGTACACAACAGTAACAATATCCCGGTCTTCTTTATAGCTGCAAGGTTGGTTAACAAAAAGTTCTGAATGTGTATTGTTCTATATTGCAATTCACCAGCTTCTTAGTGTTGCACTTCTACAACTGTTGGCAGGGACATACTTTAAAGTATTTTTTAAAGATCACTGAAATGAGCCAAGTTAAAAAATAATACCTTAAGAAACCCTGAATTACTTTAAGATTTACATCAGTGGAATCATATAGGGTAGTTATGTATGGCCTTTAAAACTCACTTAAGACAACTAAGGTGGCACTGAACTGCAGCACACAGTGTGAACACACAGTCAGTAACTTCTTAAAATCACCTTCTGTTATTGGAGAAAATGTGCATGTAAATTTTCACATCAGTTCTTTGTTACAGGTTAAATGTCTTCTTGGTGGGAATGCTGCTGATGGCTCATTTGAACTGAACTATTTTTTATTGGTGAAATATATATTGTAGTGATAATTTTCATAATTTGCTTTTTTTTTTCTTTGAAAGATATGCATCCTTCATACATAGATCTTCTCTTTGTCTTTTGTCAAAAGCAACTTTATTTGCATATTACAGTAATAAAAAGTATATTGTTCACTTGTGATATCTTTCTATATAAATCTTTCTATAGAGGTCCTTACAGGGCCATATCTTGGGAATAAACTTACGTTACCCAAAAATACACTTTCTGTTCATTTATTAAGTTAGCATAGTATTTTAGACACATAATAAATTTGTATTTGTCATTATCCTAAAATGAAATTATCACAAGAGGAAGAATATATATGGAAGTGCTTCTTATTCCTAAAGATCAACAATCACTGGATGTTTCCAGCATATTGGTATATATTTGTAGAACAAAAAATCCTTAATCTAAATCAGTGAATATTTAAGTATTAAAGTACTGGTTTATAAAGAAACAGAATTATACAAGAACCCTGTATTCATAGTTTTTTAATCAATTTATAAAATTCAAGTTTAGTAGTTGGCATATTAAAAATTGTAAACTCTTTACACACTCTTCAAATATGAATCTATTGTATCCAAATACTGAAATCACTGTTTTTAATACTTGGATCATAAACCTAGTCAATTGCAAATTATTTATTAATCAGCCTCTATAAATGATAATGCCACAACATCTGCTATAAGCCATGGAGGATGTGCAGCATAGATACAAAACAGAAAAATCAGAATGAAGAAATACAAAGTAGCCACAACCTGTTCTATTGCAGTAACTGCTATGATGCTGATTAAAACACAATTTCAGGATACCCAAATTATTTAACGTTGTGATATTTACATGTTGCTCCTGGTAAGACATATTTTGTTTTTCCTTTTTCAATCCTTAAAAAGCCTCTTTTCTAGTAAAGAAGAAAAGTCCATGTGTCTGACCCAATAAACAACCATGCCTTGTAGCAATTGCTTCAATGGAACATGTACCTTTATTCAGTTAGTTTTTTGTTCTGAGCATGTGGCTTCTGCCTCCTTTGGAGCTGTAGTTGAGATTTGTGCGTGTGAAGGTTCCCAGCCCACTTCTTGTGGGGGCTCTTTGATTTCAGGTGTAGCTGTGTCACTCAAGCTCTCCACAAGAGCTTCCCAGAGCATTACTGCCACACAGCTACTTGTAAGAGAAAGTAGAGGCTTAAAAATATTGTTTGGCTTACTCACTGCTGATTATTCTACTCCACAAAATGCATTTAGACAGCACAGAAGCCTTGTATGAAGGTCACTTGCAGTGCCAACTGCCCACGCATTTTGAAAGACACAGTGATAGCTAAAACTCACAGGAGATCAGCAGAAGTTTTGCCCAGGGTTGCCAGTGCAAGGTATCACATGTTCTTCTGTGAAAAATCTGAGAAGCTATTTTTGGTATAATATCCAAGGCCTTTCTGCCACTGTAAAAAAAAACCAAACAGCTGTAATGCCACGTACTTTCCTGGTGTGTAATTCATACAGCTGCTCTGAAAACAACAAAACTGTGTAAGCTGATGCCAAAAAAACTGTCTGGATGTAGAAATTGCATCAGAAATACAAATCTGTTTTCAAGGTAAGTAAAAGAGGCCTTGGGGTTTGAAAAGAAATGCAATTTTAGAAAACTTTCAGATATACTCTAAGGATTAAGCCTGTTTCTCAGGAGATGCTTCCCTCTTTCAGAATGACTCCATAAACAGAATCAGGTGGAAATAATATAAGGAAGAAAAAAAAAAAGATGTAATTGGTTAGATGACAGAACTATCACAAAAAAAATTAGGAAGATACTCTGTGTCATATATTATCCACTCATTGTTAATTGTATAACAGAGAAACATTGATTTTTTTCCCCCAAATGTTCCATTTTTCAACAGGTGCAGTTGCAGGAGCCTAAGTGCAGCTGTACTCAATGACCCCAATACAAGTGGTAACAGAAATAGAAAAGCAAAGATCGTGGTGTAACTTGTGTTAGACACTGCAGATGTAGCTGGATACTCTGAACTGCTTCACTCACTGTTTACAGCAAAGCTGTCTTCAAGTACGTGTGGTCCTGGTCTCATGCAGGCATACACAACATCCTAGCACATTCCAGCAGAACAAAAGCAGGGATTATTGGGGAAAAAATGGGTATAAGTGCTGAAATGAAAATATGTGAACCTTTTAAAAGTTCTTTTTACATTTCTTACTTTCTGTCTCTCACCAATCTGCTTTGCCCATGAATAAAATGACATCATGAAGTTAAAAACAATATAGACTGGTTTTTCCTATTGCATATTTTTTTCCCCAAACACAGTGCTCTATATAAAAATACAGGAAGAAAGCAAAGCTGATTATCCCGGCCGTTCCCTGGCTCTGGGTTATCCCGGCCGTTCCCTGGCTGACAGCGGCCCTGCCCCGGCGCGCCCTCTGGCGGCCTAAGCGCCCCGCAGCGCCCGGAGCTTGGGGCAGGACCCGTCCCGAACAGCTCGCCCGTCCCGAACAGCTCGCTCGGGAGGTATCGGGAAAGCACACAGTGCTCACACGGTGGTGTCTCCGTACGACTTCTGTTCATTGTCTCTTTTGACGTGGAGCTTCTTTTAAAGGACGTAAGAATAGCGGCTAGTGAACAATCTAAAATCCTTTGAAATGCACATTGAAAGCGTCTGGACCTCCTGGAGAGCAGGATTGATACTCGGAACTCCAGTCAAAGAAATGCCATGGGAGTAACAATGCAATGCAGGAGTCACCTGCTGAGTTCAGCCTACAAGGACGTACGGCATGGGACGGACAAACAGAGCTCCCACACCTCCACTTTCCAGTCCTGAGTGGAGAGACTGTTCTATTTCCTCTTTTTGGAAATCTGAATATGCTACTCTATAACTCCACAGGGAGCAGAATTCCAGCTTATGCATAAATTAATCTGGAAATAAAAACTCACATTATTTGGGCAAATTTTTATTCCCTAAATATACTGCTGAAATGAGAGAAAGGGAGCATGGCTTTACTTGTACTGGCAAATTACTTCATTATGCAAAAATACAACTTAGTTCTTTCTAGGAATTCCTTAAATTCCAAAACAGCTGAGGCTTTGTGTTAAACTAATGAATAGTTTACTGCTTTCAACAATACCTTATCCTACTCCACTCACACTCTTCAAATG